ACAAAAAGATGATAGTTCTTGTTTGACATTAGAGCAACTTTCTATATATATCTACTACTTTTTGCCGACGATGCAGTCATTTTCTCAGAGACGGCGCATGGGCTTCAAACTTCATTACATAATTTAAAAGACTATTGTAGTAAATGGCAATTAAAAGTAAATGTAATAAACGAAGCAGGTTCTTGTATTTAAAAAGGTGGAATGGCCAATTGTAAATGAACATATTTATTACGACGGGGAAGAATTGGAATTTGTTTCAAGTTTTAATTACTTAGGTATTGTGTTATCTAGTGGTGGATCTTTTAAGACAGCAACAAAAACATTAGCTGATAAAGCTCTTAAAGCTATGGGCTCATTATTTAGTATTACAAAATGCATTGAAGTTCCTGTAAAATATTATGTTAAATTTATTCGATCATATTTTGCATCTATATTGAATTATTCTTGTGAAGTATGGGGGTTTTGAAAAAAGCGGAAAATATTGAACGAATACATAGAAAATCATGAAATGATACTCAATGTTAAAATGTCTACTGCTAATTCTGCCATTATATGGTGAATTGGGTAGATATCCATTATATGTAGTTAGACAAGTTAGAATTGTTAAATATTTCCTAAAGTTGTATGTTGAAAAGGATTATAACTGTATTTTATCAAGCAAATGAACACTTTAAGATATGAAGCTGAAAATTGTAACTTTGTGAACTGGGCATCTAAAGTCCGAGATTTACTACAAAACACTGGTTTTCACGAAGTATGGATGTATCCTTCTTTCGGTAAATATTAATATGTTTGTTCCTTTTTTTCGTACTAGAATTATTGACATGTATATAAATAATTGGAGACAAGATATTTGTTCAAAGTCATCTTTTTTTTATTTAAAGAAATTAAAGCCAGATTTTGAAAGGTCCGAATATATAAATAAAATGAAATGTCGTAGTTTTAAGAAATATTTTAGCTAAAATACGTTTATCTTCACATGACCTACATATTGAAACTGGTAGACATAGAAATAAGATAGAAACGATAGAAAATGTACACTGTGCCAATGTAATGATATAGAAGACGAATACCATTTTTATTTTTAATATGTCCAATGCTATGCTTTACTTAGAAATCAGTATATTTCCTAGGTATTATCATAGACACCCGAGTATGCTCAAACTCACACAATTGTTTGAATTCTACAAATGTAAAGGTCTTAAACAAATTGGCTCTGTTTGCAGAAATGCTTTTAAATTAAGAACAAATGAATTAAATTCTTTGTTATGATCTGATGAAATATGTAAGTTGTTTTGCATGTTACTAAATATGATATTTACATTATTACTATGTGCATGTAAAATTTGTTGTATGTAACGATGAACTGTAAATGTTCAAGTTAGATTCAAATAAAATTTCTGTTCTGTTCTGTTCTGTTCTGTTCTGTAAAATAATTTAATAGATATCTGCGTAAAATACATACATACTATGTTGACTCCTCGGCGGTCCGAATCCAAATGACTCAAATCATCAGTGTATTATTTCTAAATGCTCTGATCACGAGTGTAAAGTCGCCACAATGTATGGCGTGTGTTTATTTTAGGGACGGAAACACTAACAATGGCCTATTGAAATGTTTAAAGTTAATCCTTTAAAGTAGCCACTTGGTCTGGCATATGTTTATTTAGGGACGGATATGCGGACAATGCTCCATTCAACTTGTCAAAGTTTATCCGTCTAAAGTAAAAGCGGGTAATTAATTATTTATTGAAGTGTCAGTTTACCACTGGGGCATAATTTTAAACTCATTTTGGAAAAGAAACGTTTTAAAACTGATCATCACGAATGTGCAAAATTATATATAAAAAAACAAACTATTATAACCGAACAAAAATACAACAGAAAAAGCGTTTTTCGTCTTTTGTGCAATCTCATTAAAATCAGATCATCGTTTTTGCTCCGTTACTACGAGCGTAGGGTAGTGAAGCGACAGTTAGGATATGATTTTAATGAGATTGTCTTTTGTGCAACATTTTACGATAAACATTTTGATTTGTTTCGCATCAAATGATAGACCTGACAAAATGCTCCAAAATAAACCCTAAGTTCTCGATTCGATTTTTAGCCGTTCTCGAGTTATGGCCAATTAGCGATTTTTAAACCATTTTTTTAAAGTTAATAAAACCCTTAAATTTATATGCCGTTTGAAAAATCTCTGCCAGTAGATACAGAAAATGTATTATTATATGGATCTATCTTTTACTATTTTTGAGATAGGAGATAGGCGGCGGCGGCGGCGGTGGTGGCGGTTGAGGAGCAAGAGATAAATAGAAGCAGATCCTGTTTCCAGTCATAAATGTTTATGAAATATATGCAGAAAAACATATTCTTTTTTATACATACGTATTAAAACCTGATTGGCTGCTACTTTTGGCAAGCCGTTTTCCATCTATTTATGTTATTAATAGTCACGTGACCAAAATCATTTGTCAAATAATCCTTCTGTCTGATTGGTTACATTCAGTCCGTAAGAAAAGAGAAACTGCTTTTAGATTGGACAATGTCATTTCTAAATTTAGATCAGCGCATGCGTATTATGTATCGCAGTGGTGACTTCAGTCATTTGGTGATTGGACGTTTTGGAGTTAACATCATTAACGCAGTAAGTTGAGTTTATATTTCAAGTACAGTATTTTCAATGAAGAGTGTTTAATAGAAATAGAGCGTTTATGCACTAGTGATTTTTAGTCAGTATTCATAAAGAGCGCCTTAAAACATTTCGTACAATACCAAACATGACCGGGTTATTTTGACTAATAAAGGTGTAAATCCACATTTTACGCTGGAGTGATTTTACTTCATTTCTCGGTTCCTATCCGAGTCAGCAATACAAAAGTATACATTTTCTGAATCTAGTGAGTAATACCTTTCGTTGGATACAGGTATTGATAAGATCGGTCTGTTGGTTGAGGAGAAAAAATGGATTTCACGCATGAGTGACTTGACATCCGATTTGATCGCGTGACTAAAATGTACTCGTCAAGACCTTCAATTTGATACCAAACACGACAATGTTTCGTTCATAAACGAAAAAGTTATACGCGTTTTTCCGCATGAGTGATTTTGTCTGCCATATTCAAACTCTCCTATCTCAGAAATAGTAAAAGATAGATCCATATAATAATACATTTTCTGTATCTACTGGCAGAGATTTTTCAAACGGCATATAAATTTAAGGGTTTTATTAATTTTAAAAAAAATGGTTTAAAAATCGCTAATTGGCCATAACTCGAAAACGGCTAAAAATCGAATCGAGAACTTAGGGTTTATTTTGAAGCATTTTGTCAGGTCTATCATTTGATGCGAAACAAATCAAAATGTTTATCGTAAAATGTTGCACAAAAGACGAAAAACGCTTTTTCTGTTGTATTTTTGTTCGGTTATAATAGTTTGTTTTTTTATATATAATTTGGCACATTCGTGATGATCAGTTTTAAAACGTTTCTTTTCCAAAATGAGTTTAAAATTATGCCCCAGTGGTAAACTGACACTTCAATAAATAATTAATTACCCGCTTTTACTTTAGACGGATAAACTTTGACAGTTGAATGGAGCATTGTCCGCATATCCGTCCCTAAATAAACATATGCCAGACCAAGTGGCTACTTTAAAGGGATTAACTTTAACATTTCAATAGGCCATTGTTAGTGTTTCCGTCCCTAAATAAACACACGCCATACATTGTGGCGACTTTACACTCGTGATCAGAGCATTTAGAAATAATACACTGATGATTTGAGTCATTTGGATTCGGACCGCCGAGGAGTCAACATAGTATGTATGTATTTTACGCAGATATTTATTAAATTATTTTACAGTAAATGTCCTTATTATTATTTTATATGGAAACATTATTTGACAGAGTCATAATATCTAATTAAATTGAAAATAAATTCCATATATTTTGTTATATGTTAAAATTTTTATAAAGAAACAAATTTAAAGTAATAAATTAATTGTCTTATTTATAGTATTATAGAGAGTCAAGTAGTCAGTCGGTTTTCAATTATATCTTATTACTAATGTATTTTCTTTTATTTGGAATGTTTATAGAAAAACACATTAAAAATAATATATTAATATTTAGTCAGTTTTTACGCAGATATTTATTAAATTATTTTACAGTAAATGTCCTTATTATTATTTAATATAGAAACATTATTTGACAGAGTCATAATATCGAATTAAATTGAAAATAAATTTCATATATTTTGTTATATGTTAAGAATTTTATAAAGAAACAAATTTAAAGTAATAAATTAATTGTCTTATTTATAGTATCATAGAGAGTCAATTAGTCAGTCGGTTTTCAATTATATCTTATTACTAATGTATTTTCTTTTATTTGGAATGTTTATAGAAGAACACATTAAAAATAATATATTAATATTTAGTCAGTTTTTATTACTAATTAAAAATGTAATCAAGCCGTTTGCATTTTTTAAAGAAATTCTACTTGATTCGAACAATGATTTTATTAATTAATATGTGTAGTTAAGCACGTATTCATACAAAGATTATCTGTAGTTATAAAATGGTGATTATCTCTCCGTCTAGGGCCGAGGACCTGACCTTCAATGTCCGCGATTCAAGCCCTAAGATCGTGTATACGAGTCAGCTCCGTATACTTCCGGGAGATATTATTTCTATTTATAACGTAATGATGTAATTCTTAAAAAAGAATCCAAAATGGCCGCCGCCGCGTCTGTTATTTAACCCGCGTCTGTTATTCAACACGGCCGCCACGCATGTGTAGTGAGGTCATTTCTTCTATGCAAATGAGTTACTAATTATAGAAAACAAAATGGCCGCCGTGCATGTGTAGTAAGGTCATTTCTTCTATGCAAATGAGTTACTAATTATAGAAAACAAAATAGTCGCCGCGCATGCGCAGTCTTGGGGCCAAACCGGCCCCTATACTACTTGTATGGATGAAAAAAAAATCTATCTCTTTGCAGCTCTACTGGACTGCGATTATGATGGGATAATTCGCAAAAGTGGTGATCATTTTCCCTCCAGTGATGGATGTAACAACTGTTTCTGCACTAACGGGGCCGTAGCATGTACACTAAGATTTTGTCTACCAAAAGGTAATTTCATAATCCGTAGCATTTACACTAAGATTTTGCCTACCATAAGGTATTTCATAATCCGTAGCATGTACGTACACTTAGATTTTGCAAATCATAATCCGTAGCATGTACACTAAGACTTTTTCTACCAAAAGGTAAATCATAATCCGTAGCATTTACACTAAGATTTTGTCTTCCAAAAGGTAAATCATAATCCGTAGCATGTACACTAAGATTTTGCCTACCTGTTAATCATAATCCATAAAACAGTATGTCATAAACTGTGCCATTTACACTAAGATTTAGCCTACAAAAGGTACATAAAAGTTTGTTCCACGACGACGACGGCAATACCGCAACGATCATAATAACTCGACGTTTTCTTCGAAACAGACGAGTTAAAATGATATTCTTTTTGTTAGAATCTGTTTATGGAAAGAAAATGTCATATTTTTTGTCTGTTGTCAAATATTAGTATGAATATAATATTGTTTTGCTTGTTGTTTAAGTAACGTGTACATACGGAAACGCCACATACAATGAAAATGATTCGTTCAAGGCACTGGATGGGTGTAACACGTGCTCCTGTCGAAGAGGTATGGTCGTTTGTACCGAGATGTTTTGTCTACCTTCTACAGATGTCCCTCTGTAAAATAAATAAACCAAAAATAAAGATAACATGAAAGCGTTCACTTTCTTTGGTCTTATTTTCACATCCATGGATGCAATATGGCAAACTATTTCTGATTTTTAGCCATTAAATCAGAGCAATGACTCACTAAATATGAAAGGACATTTCAGCGGACATGTTATAGATTATTTAAATACAGCCCCAATATTTCTAGATCGTACATAATTTTAAGATTCATAAAGCTTCAGAAATGCTATCATATATTTGTTCTCAAAAACATTTTATTTTTTGGTATTCAAAAGGATACTCATTGGCCATATACATGAACTATCTTAAAATTAGTCCTTTTTGACAATTTGAATAATTACTTTGTTTAAATTTTGCTACCTTAACGAGATATTATTGCATGTTCAATGATACTTTCTTCTATTGTTTAAGCTCTAAATCTATTATAAAAGTATCATTAAACATATATTTGACCTTTGTAAAGAATTAAAAAAATATTGATTTCTGAGATACGAAATGCTTTAAGGGTTCATTATCCTAAGAAATCTTTAAAACAGATATTTTCTTTTCTTTTTTATCAGCTTATTGGCAATAATTTCAGGTAATCTTTCTGTAATGCTTCCCGCCAAAAAATTCCAATATCGTGATAAATCGGTCATTTCCGGAACGTTATTATTCACAATCTTCGGTATTGGTTCATAACCTAAATTTAGTACAAAGCGATAAAGGATGATTGATTGTAAATAATCTAATGCCCAAGATTTTGAAAAATTAAAGTTCCGGAAGTAACCGATTTGCTACGATTTTTGCCGATGTTATAATGTTTTAGCGGGAAGCATTACAGCAAGAATACCTTTAGAATTATAAACCCTTATTTAAATTCTTCATTAAGATCAAATTGGTTTGCTTCTGATTTTTACCTTATAACTATAATGGAAGCCTGTGGTCAAAACAGTCCATTTTTAAAAAATACAAATTGTTTGATTTTTTGTTGTTTTTCTATGTATCCATGACTTTTGTACTGCATATCATAAAAAAGTGGAAGAACAATAACTTTAATATATTACATGTAAGAGTGTAATCAGTATTTACGTACCACAGACGTAAAAAACTATACATCAGAACAAAAAGACCTCGTCATAGACAAGTTGGGTGTTAATGTTTTTACAGCGTTTCGTTAGAAATTCTCATTTATCTTCTGCCGCAAATCCGGAACATATAATCTATCACCGAATCGCCTTTGCCATTAACTCGTGTCAAAGTGTCAAATAACTACTACGTGACCGTATTTTAACTTTTATATGACTTTGTTTTGAGATATCCACAAAGTAAAAACAGTGATAAGGCGATTGATGTTGAGAGTGATAAACGATAGCCTGAGAAATGTGTTATATATAGCAATTAAAGGTATCTTACTAAAATTTGGAAACATTTATTTGTATTTTGCTACTTTTAATCAGAAGAAATTTATTTAAAACAAGAGATATCAATGGACCCTATTCAGTAAATTACATTGCAAGTGATGAAGAGATTGTTTTATGTTATTATTTTAAGTCTAGGTTCAAGTGTGCCTACATACGGAATAATTCTGTGCTGATAAAAGATAATAGCAACGTGCATGTACATAGCTTATTAATAATTGAAGCATAAAAGTCAGTTATACAACATGGTGATGAATCCAAAAAATCCAAAATCTCTAAGAAAAAAACTCATTTAGATGTTTCTCATGATGATCTAAGGCAGCTTATTTTATATTGTTTAACACTGTTGTCAAGCTAATAATAGTTCTTGATTTTCTATCACGACAAAAATATAAAACATTGAAATATCTATAATTAAGCGAATTTTTCTTCGCCGAAAGTGAGTAAAATATTGCTTTTCACACCGAATAGTGATCGTTTACTAAAATATACTTTTCCCATTACCAAACTATGATGTTTGTCTTGGTTCTCAGTAAATCTGGGGCTTTTTTAATTAGTAGGAAAAGAAAGGAATACAGTAAAGCTGTACGGAATATGATTTATATCAAAATTAAAATGCATTTATTGTATAAGATTTTAGTACACGTAGGCCTGGTATCGGAAGCGCCCAGTGTGATCGTGAGAAATACTGATCTATTACTAAATAAGTATGTGATTACACTTCATCTTTGTTTAAATGCACAGTAATGAAATTAGTTAATATTGCAGTTAAAAAAAACAGGCTACACTCTTTAAAGACAGCGTGTGTTTCTTTTGGGTGGTATCAATGTAACGCGAGTAGAAAGTGTCACAAGACTATAAACAGTTTATATATGAAATAACAACACAACCAGCAATAACAGCAATGCATGGTTTTGTTTTGTTTTTGTCTAAAGTGTTCGTGGTTTTTTTATTCTTGGATAAAAACTGCGCATGCAGGTTTACACTGACGAAGGACGAAACAAGCATTCTTGTGGCTGTTGTTGCACAATTTGTAATATCCGAGACACAGGGCGCAATGTAAAATAGCTTAATGCAATGACGGCCCTGGTTGTTTTATTATCAAAACGTAAATGACGTAGCTTTAAAGCTGCCTTGCACGTTTTGTAATATGCAGGGCGCAATTTTAAAACAGCTTAATGGAATGACGGCACTAGCAATTTTATAATCAAAACATGACTGATATACATGTACCTTAAAGCAAGAGTACTACTCATGCCGTGCTTCTTTAGATAATAATGCGCAGAAAAAATGCATGAAACCTCTTTTATTCAATTCAATTATGGCTTAAAGTACATATTCTCTATAATTCATTCAAATATTCAGGAAGCAGTTTCATAAATAAAGAGTAGAAATATCCGAAGCAACAATAAATTATTAAGATAAGTCCACAATTAAGTTTCTTCACCGGAAGTATACATCAGTAATTCCTTTCATTAAAAGTAAACATGTCGACTTCTTTGAAGTGCCTTTTTAGCACAGCCAATGCTATTGATATATTCAATGCATAGCCATGGTTCAATGTACTTTGGAAATGTAAATATTCGCATAATTGATAGCAGTTCATTCAAAAATGTTTCCGATATTTTAAAAATATTTTCATTCAGTCCACGAAGAGCACTAGCTGAACCGCAGTCGATCGTTACAAATGATAATAAAAACAATTTATTTCGTTATAAGCCCTTTTTCACGATAAGATAATGGAAAGTAAATAATGAACGTTTGATAATTACTATTTAATAGTTTGCAATGACATATAATTCATAATAATTGTATTCTCTTATTATTAATATTACCGTTATCATTACGTCAACGGACGGCATTTTCCTGGCTGATCTAGGTGTGCACATGATCGGACGGCCTATTCCTGGCTGATCTTGGTGTGCATATAATCGGACGACCTTGTGTCTGCTGATCTAGCTGTGCATATAATCGGACGGCCTTGCCCGGCTGATCTAGGTGTGCATATAATCGGACAGCATTGTCCTGGCTGATCTAGGTGTGTATATAATCGGACGACCTTGTGTCGGCTGATCTAGCTGTGCATATAATCGGACGGCCTTGCCCGGCTGATCTAGGTGTGCATATTATCGGACAGCATTGTCCTGGCTGATCTAGGTGTGCATATAATCGGACGACCTTGTGTCGGCTGATCTAGCTATGCATATAATCGGACGGCCTTGCCCGGCTGATCTAGGTGTGCATATTATCGGACAGCATTGTTCTGGCTGATCTAGGTGTGCATATAATCGGACGACCTTGTGTCGGCTGATCCAGCTGTGCATATAATCGGACGGCCTTGCCCGGCTGATCTAGGTGTGCATATTATCGGACAGCATTGTCCTGGCTGATCTAGGTGTGTATATAATCAGATGTCACGGCTGATCTAGGTGTGCACATGATCGGACGGTCTTGTCTCGACTGATCTATGTTTGCATATAATCGGACAGTCTTGTCCCGGCTGATCTAAGTTTGCATATAATCGGACGGCCTTGTCCCGGCTGATCTAGGTGTGCATATTATCCGACAGCATTGTCCCGGCTGAGTTAGGTGTGTATATTATCGGACAGTCTTGTTCCGGCTCATCTAGGTGTGCATATAATTGGACGGCCTTGTCTCGGCTGATTTAGGTGTGCATATGATCGGACGGCCTTGTCTCGGCTGAGCTAGGTGTGCACATGATCGGACGGCTTTGTCCCGGCTGATCTGGATGCGGACTTATCGCATAGGTAGAATCAGTTACTGTCTCAAACCAAGACATTAGTTTCGTTGCATAAACAATTACATACAGAACATACGATTGTTAAAGTTACATAACATTCTTAGGAAAACTTAGGTTACCAGTAATACCCATACTAACAGAAGGTCTTATAAAATCAATATTTATTTAAAAAACAACATCGTGTTGAACAAATATTTCCTTAAACCAAGGATAGACAAAAGTTCTCTTTTCTGGAAAGTAATATTATGATTATTTTTCTGATATGTATATGAACATAAAAACATTGTGCTAAGAAATGGAAGTTTCAATTTAGAGACGATAACAAAACGCGCAATGTAATGGGCGTCTTAAAGTCATTCATGAACAATTTTTCATGCATTCCTGTGTAAGATTATTTCGATCATGCCAGTCGCAAAAAAATGCCAATTAAGTCAGTCCAATAAAACAATACATTCAATTGGTGAATTGAATTTAATCAGTCATAGATCAACTGATGTGTTAAGAAAATGTCATACAAGGAGTTGAAATAGAACCAACTTCCCACAATACTCAATAGTAAGATACTACGTCATTGCACACCTGCAAAATTCTCCCGGGTACGCGATGAAGTAGAAAAATGTGTCAGGTTAGATTGAATAAGCATCTTCATTAATTCGATGTTTTATTGCAATTGATAATCGATTAAAAAACGGCAATTTGAAAATAAATAGGCTCCTTATGAAAACAGTTGTATTTACAAAACTTTTAATGATAATATTAAATTTTGTATGATGATCTGTTTTGTAAAAGTCTGAATTTTAGGATTATGTCTTGTCGAATAAAATTGTTTTAATATCGTTTAGTTCAAGTTAACCCCGGTGATAACATGAAC